AACGGGCAAGCTGAAGCAACAAACAAAACCCTCTTGAGTAACCTCAAGAAACGACTCGACGCCCGTAAACATAGGTGGTCCGAAGAGCTCGCAGCAGTTCTTTGGGCTTGCCGAACTACACCTCACAAAGCTACTCATGAGACCCCGTTCTCATTAGCTTACGGGCTAGAGGCCGTCATCCCAACTGAAACTTCCGTTCCAAGTCTTCGCAGGATGCAATGTCCAGCGAACGTCGAGCTGAACGAAGAAATGTTGAGAGATCACCTTGACCTTATCGACGAACGTCGAGATCAAGCTCTGATCCGGATACAAAACTATCAACAGGCCGCAGCTCGCTATTACAACTCCAAGGTTAAACACCGGAGCTTTCGTATAGGCGACATGGTTCTGAGAAAAGTACAAGACTATACCAAAGAGCGCAATGCAGGGAAACTTGGGACCAACTGGGAAGGTCCCTACCTCATTACCGAAGTAGTTCGCGATGGCGTCTACAAGCTCACAAAAGTCAGAAACGGAATACCTGAACTAAGACCTTGGAATGCGATGAACCTGAAAAGGTACTATCACTGAAAAGGATCTAATCTGAGTATCTCCACCCCTCGAACTACGTTTAGGCTTGATCCTCCTTCCCTGGGGGTACGTAGGCAGCTCAACCACGAGTCCAGCCCCAATCCGAATTTACTTCGTTTTATTTGAGACGACCTCATTGGCCGGCCCTAAAACGGGCTCGATTTGTATCATCTCGAATATTATACTTAAATAAAATGTTTTCTATGTTTATCGCTACGAATTGCTCGAATCAATTCCGCAATTACTTAAGCGTATCAATTTACGTCGAAAACGCCTGATCTTGCGTGACCTGAAAAGAAATCGAGCTCTTTCTCTCGTCTCAAAACAGATCGGAAGATCGAGATCACCTCGATATTCCCCTTTCGAACGAAGTGAGGTTCAGAGTCCACCTCTTTACCTTCAATTTCTTACTTCGCAAAAAACCAATCGAAGTCCGCAGCGTCCAAGCATCCAGCGTAGTGTTCTAGCAATCGTAGAACCGAAGACCCAGAGACAGCCCGAAATCTAACACGAAGCCGAGCCATCCAGACGGACCTAAGTTCACGATTAGCTCGGAACACTATCGGCGAAGCGACAAAACCAAGACGAACTTCGAAAGGTAATAAATTCCATCTCCAAAAGCCGAATAAGAAACACCTCGATCGAAAGACGGGAAAACAACTCCGCAAAGCGCGAGCTACATCAGTTCGCCAAAGAGCTCGAAAAAGAATAAACACCACGTTTAGCTCGATCCGTGCGATCGACGAAAATCGGTAAAATTCGCCTAAGTGTTGAATCGATCTAATCGTCCCGAATTGGACTTGATTCGACCTAAAACTATGTTTAGCTCGTTCCACGCGATCAGCCAAAACTAGTAAAAATTCGCCTAAGTGTTGAATCGATCTAATCGTCCCGAGTTGGACTCGATTCGACCTAAAACTATGTTTAGCTCGACACACGATCGGCCAAAACTAGTAAAAATATTCTAAGTGTTGAATCAACCTAAACGGATCGATTCGACCTCCGACTAAAGTACATCTTGGCCCTGGTCTCTCGACCGGCCAAAACACTTAGTCAAAAAGCCTCAAAACATTTTGGCAAGTAAAACGCGAGCTAAAATGAAAGTTGCAAAACAATTTGAGCAAAACGCCTAAGGCAAAACGCCTAAGGCCAAAACATTAAAAGCCCCCGCGGGCAAACGAGTTTGTGGATAAAAGCCTTCCCAGGCACCAAATCCGAAACATAAAGCGTAAAAACCCCGCCGGGCAACCAAGTCTTAAAATAAATTGAAAAAGGAGTAGAGATAGAAAGAGGTCGACCAAGAGCTCAGTCCTCGACGGTCATCTCTTCATCTTCCTTCTCTTCCTCCTCGTTGCTTCCCTTCTCTTCGGCATTCGTCCCGAACGGGTTCAAGCCAACCGGGATGCTCGTCGATGGGTCGATCTCCATGCGCGCGACCGAGTCCTCCGAAACCACGGGAAGGTTAAACTTCCCGATCGAGAAATCGGAGACTTGGGCCGCCTTGGCTGCTTCGGCCACCTCATCCTCGAGCCCCTTCAACCTGGCGAGCTCTTCCTCCTGGTTGATCGCACCGGAGATCAGCGACGTAAGGAGATCGATGTTGGATTGGAGTTCGATCTGATCGCCCTCCTTCTCACCTTCCACCCTCTTCTCCTCGAACTTTGCCTTAGCCGATTCAAGCACTTCCCGATGCTTCGCGACCATCTCCCTCCGACCTGCGCGGTTGGCACGGCGAGCTACGTTGTCCTTCTCGGCGACGAGTACCTGGTTCTCCCGGCTAAGGCGAAGCGACTGCGTCAGCGCACTCGAGCTCTCCTTCTGCAAAGCCGCCATCTGCTCCTGATTCTGGGACAGCTGGCGCAAGAGATCGGCCTCCCTGGTCTCGAGCTCTTTCACACGACCCTCCTGCGAGGTGTGTTTCTTCAAGAGCTCACCCTGACGAGCTACCCGCTCGTTCGCCGCAGAGAGATCGGAGGTCAACTTGGCAACGAGCTCCTTCACCTGATCGAGCTCTTTCTGCTGAGGCGCGTCTCTGATCCTCGACTCCAGGCGGGACACCAACATGTTACGAGCTGCCACAGCCTAACAAAAACAAAAAATTCAACCAAGGCCAAAACAACAACAAAGACTCTCGTCTAAAGTTTTGACTAGGGAAACAGTTCTACCCTCCCGCTCGCAGCGCACGTCGCGATGTAGAGCTCCTTCTCAGACATCTGGTTCAGGGACGGGAGCCGGCATCCGACGGGCTTGAAGTGGAGCTGAATGCGAGCTGTTCCCTCCTCGTCGTCCTGAACGGGGAAGCCTCTGGAGTTCTCGTACTGCCAGTAAAACGGCGGCTTTCCCCCGCTCCCGTTCGAGGCAGTCGGGCCGCCCTCGCGAGAACGAGTCTCTCCATCGTCACTCCGAGCTCGCTTCGGCGCCTGCCTCGAGTGACCTTGATCCGAACTCCGAGTCCGATCGGAGCTCACATGAACCGTACTCGGGAGAGGAACGATCTCTCCTTCAGCGGTCGCGTCGACCTGGTCAACCACCTGGTCGGCAAGGGCAGAAGACCCCGCCGTGGGCTTCGAAGCCATAGCCTCCTCCACCGCCGTTACGAACTCGCCGGCACGAACTCGACTTCCACCCGAGGAAGCGCCTTGGCACCCTTTGCGGTCCGGGATCTGAGAGGCTGACGACGAGGCATTTTCGATCTGCGTGAGAGAGGAGGAACAGAAGAAGCGGAGCTAGAATCTTGCGCCGATCTAACCGGAAGATCAGCTGGAAAATTTATATAAACAGCTCGTTATAAAGAGTTCGTAAAATGAATTTCTAGCTGGTCAAGGGAGATTATTACCTGGAGGAGGAGCAGGAGGAGAGCTGAGAACTCGACGGATCCGTTCCGGAGTAAAAGTACTCCAGTTCACCTTTTCCCTTCCGAGTCGCTCGACGAGGTAATCAATCCCCGGGTTGTTCGGTACTGGATCTACAACTGCAAAAGACAAAAAAAATCATCAATAAACGAGGTATTCCATAAGTCAAGCGAGGTATCGACTATCCTAAACGGAAATCGGCCTAAGCTAACCAACGCTAGTCGCCCACTCCGTTCGGATTCGACCAAAGTCGAAGTCGCCCATCGTGGCCTCGCTGACCCGGAAGAAGAACATCTCGTCACTCCACCCGCTATCCCTCTGCGGGGTGTTCGTGAATATTCGCCGATTCGGCCTCGGCGAGGAGTAAAACGACCCGGGTAGCCTGGTGTTGTTCTTCACCGAGAAAAGCTTTCTCAGATCTCGAACACCGAACGAGACGCCCTCTTCCCGAGCTCGAACCGCACATCCTATCACGTGGCGGACGAAGCTCGGGTGCATCTGTGGAAACGCCATCTTGTAATGAGCGAGCGCTTCCATCAGAAAACGAGGGACCGGGAAAATCATCCCGGCGCTCCGCCAATACGACGTATAGGCGCAGCAAAACCCCGGACGAACATGCTCCGGGTCCTCGCCCTCAGCCGGCAGAACGAGCTTCGATCTCGTCCGGGATCCCGAAATCCTGCCGGAAGGTCGAGGCTTTCGGCGTCGAGCGTCGTCTCGGCGTGCGGCGTGAATTCCCGTCGCCGCCGAGGTCGACGGCCTTTCCCTTCTCTTGCTTGACGATTCTTCGGAGGCATTGTAATCGGAGGAGAGACGGAGGAAAAAGAGGTTGAAGGAGGTTTTGGAGAAATTCGAAATCGAAACAACCTAAAACGCTCGAAATTTTGCAAAGGTTCGATAATTTTCAAGAACTTGGAGTTATCTAATCTAAAACTTGAAGCAAATAAATAAGTAAAAGAGAGAGGAGAAGTTACCTTTTCAAAAACGTGGGCACGGTTAAAGAGAAGAGTAGTGGGTCGAGTTTATATTCAGTGCTGAAGAGATCGCAAAGAATCCGATTTTTCTGCGTGAATCTCGACCGTACAACTCACAGATCTTAACCGCTTGCATGCGACGAGCTGATGATGTGACGCGCTGTGGGTCCCAAACGATCTCAGCCGCACGGGCTCTTCGCTCTCCTCAATCTGAACCGTCCGATTCGAAAACATAATCATTTCGAATCTTAAAATATGCGATATCCGTTATCGAGGAGCTCGGTTTGCGAGATTGCAGCGAGTTGACAAGATTTTCGCGATCTCGACCGTTCATCTCGTTCAACGGCCAGATCTTATCTTCACCTCGAAGAAAAGAAAAATTTAATGCCTAAGGCAATTTCCAACGACGAGATCCCCGCGATCTTTTACCCCGTTCAAACCTTGCGGATAAGCTCGAATATACCCCGAATCGAGGAATTCGAATTTAGCCCGGCAAAAGTTTGAATTTTTGAAATTAAAACAAACCGCCCGTTTTAAGTTCGAAACTCACTTAAAAGGGCTGGGGGGCAATTGTTGGACCCAGATTCCACACCTGGAATCTAGCCCGTAAGGGCCCATTACCTTGATCCAAGATTGAAGTCCAGGCCCACTCAAGCCCAGCAAGAAGACCTCGAGCCCACCAAGCGACTCCCTCGTAAGCCAGTTAACTGCCATCCGAGCTATTCCGGTCGACGTAAAGACGAGCTCCAGCTCGATCAAGGACCAGGTCGGCACTGCGAAGAAAGACGAAGTCAAAGAAGATCTCCTTCAAATCCGGTCTGGTCCGAGATCACCGGGATCGTTAGCTGCACGTGGCGAGATACGCGGAGGTGGATCGTAGCTGATTCTGGAGCTATAAAAGGAGCTTGACAGCAGTCGGATCAAGGGAGATCTTACAACTTCTTCCGATCATTTAGACCTAATTACTATCATACTTTCCTTGTATTTTCCTTTGAGCTTAGTTCTTTCTCTCTTCTGAGAATTCATTGTAACCATTTTCATTCGTTTAATACAATTCCGTTTAGCCAAATCCTTGCTTACGATTCATTCGACTTACATCAAAATCTAGCCCTAAATCTCCCTAAGTTTCTTCCTTGCAAAACCTATAAATTTCGAGTGTGGTTTTCAGCATCCACAATTTGTTTTTTTATATCGTTTGAAAATGACTCCAAAAACGAATTAGTACTAATTTTAATCATATTAAAAAAGGCCAAACAAATAGTATCCTAGCCTAGGAGATGTTTGGATGTGAATGCAAACCCCATGTGCTTTGTTTCGTATTTTAATTTCCTTGTATCCTTTAGAACTAAAGCTGAGTTGTTATTGGGATCTCAATATCCCAAATGTTAGAGATTTAGATCGTTTATCTAGCTAATTGGATTCAATCTAATTGTGCAGGAAAGGAAATGACATAGAGGTTTTTGTTTACCCAGTGTTCATTTCCTACTCACTCGAGGAGAAATCACGTCTCCCGTCGTTTCATTATCGCTGGAAAACTCTTATGGTTCCGATACACCGGAAATCACCACTCTTCGTTACAAGCGAGCCTCAGCTCAAATCTCTTTAGAGATAACCTCGACGTAAGTCTTTCTCTCTCTAGTCTAGATTCTCTTGTTTTCTCACTCTGTAACTAACTCTCTCGTTGTCCTCTCTCTGTTTCTTGTTGCAGGTCTTTTAAATGAAGAAGAAGTCCTTTAAACGGAGAGGAAGAAGATGTTAGACTTCGCCACTTCAGCTGGAGATAGGCTTCGACTTGGGCCAAAGAGGAATGGCAGTTGGGTATGGGCCAAGCCCATTAGGAGTTGATTCGAATCCACATTCACACCAAAGTTATAACCTTCACCCAATCAAAAGAAGAAACAATCTTCCGGAATGAGTCAATTGTAGTAAACTTATCGTTTGAGAACTGTTCAAAAAATATGTGTTGAAACTCGCATTTGGAAGTTAATGGTCATATTGAGCAAAACCTGTCCAAAGTATGTTTGCGACTGGTTTTGCACTAATCTAATTTATCGTGCTATACTGTTCACCGTGGATCTCTGCCGACCAAATATCAAACTGAATTATTGTACGAAGAGACAAAAGGAGATCTTGTACACTTTTAATTTTCATGATCAGTCCAAGGAATTAAAATTGTACAAAGCAATATATCCAAAACATCGGAAAAAAAACTAGGACAAAAAAATTTAAGTACGAATGTAAAATTTCCCCATAAATTAATTGTTTTCAATGAATATGTGTGTATTAGTGCAATATATACCATTTTTCGTACTTTTACGATCGTCCATATAAAAAATGGTTTCCTTTTCAAGGGATAAAAGGTTGAGAGTCATGAACCAACTGGTTTTGTATCCCGGTCTGAGTAAACGAAATGATTGCCGGAATATTGCTATAACACTCACCGGCTCCGCCGGGTCCTCCACCAGGATACAAAGAAACTTTCTCTTTAAAAAATAATAACATAAAAATAAAAAAATCAATCATTACTTTCTTATTAAATATATATACTTTCTTAACTAATTTTCTGTTACTTCACTAGAATTTGAATATGATTTACTCAAGGCGTAAAAACCTTGAATATGATTTATTAAACAAGTGACATTATACACTTAAACTTACACATATCAATATTTTAACGTCGTTATTTCAGATTTTAGTGATATAAAAACCGTTCAGGTTTTCTAAATTTCTGATTCGGATTTGGTTTTCGGGATTTTTTTTTATTTCAGATTTTCGGGTTTAGACATTTTAAAAAAGTTTGGGTTTTTTAAATTTTGATTAGGGTTTTTGAATCAAGCTGGGGTTTAAAATTAAGATTTTTTTCACAAAATTGCAACGTCACACCGCGCGTTTGCGCAATCCTCTACTAGTTGTTAAATTAATAACAACGACATATTTTTCTTTAAGAACAACATTAGAAATCAATACCAATATAAATATAATTATGAATTATAGATTACGTATGTTTTCCTATTTAATCAATACCAATAAATAGGAAAACATGTGTAATCTATAATTCATAATTACAAAAGGTGACTACATAAAAATATTAATGGTATGAAATCTGAGATTTTTTTTTTTAAGATTTACAAAGAAATTTTGCTTTTAACTTTTATTTTAAGATCTGTATTAAAAAAATCTCTTTATGTGAAATGTTGTCTATATATGTCATCTATTTTTCTAGTTTTGACTTCAAAGTATTAGATTTTATAAGATTTGCGGTGACAAGATTCTTAATTCTAGTGTTTCTAATTTGAAAATCGAGTGTGATGGGTTGGTTATCAAAGAAGTCACGAGGAAACACTCTTGACACGTTGAGTGTCTTATACCTCTACATATATATATATATATATATATATATATCATCTAAATAAGAGTTTTACAATTTTCTTATACGATTCTACACTTTCTTTGCTTCTTAATAATTGTCTAGGGTTATTGTGGAGGCCGAGTTGGAGCTTCGGATGGATAGTGTTAAATCCGAAGAAAAAATTAGGAAAACTGTTTGCGCTGTTGAAGGCAAGAAAATGAGATATATATTATACACACGATATATATGATTTGCTAGTAATGTTGTATTTATTTTTCTAATTATATGTTTTAATTAGGAGTTGAAGAATGTATAACGGACATTGATGCTCAAAAAGTTACGGTCATTGGTAAGTTTAATCTGGATAAAGTGTTGAAGACTCTAGAAAAAAAGGAGTGGTATGAAAGCAGAAATTCTGATGGTGAAAGATAAATATGATAGTCGAGAAGATAAGAAGATCTTTATCAAAAAAAGAGAAGATAAGAAGAATGAAGGAACTTCAAAGGCCATGAAGAGAAGAAAAAAATAATAATGAACTTCACATAATTCTTATGTGACCGATATGTCTCTCTATATTTATAATAAGGAGGTGTATTATAATTATCTTTTCTTAATAGTTATATATATATATATATATTATGTTATGGTGTGTAATGTATATATAATCGTCCTCATTAGTTTATCTTATATGGTGGTGTGTAATGTATATATAATCGTCCTCATTAATTTATCTTATATGGTGGTTATACTTATATAGAAGTGGATGGTTATCATTTGGTTTATTTTTCTGTGAAAAGTTTTTTTTTAACACTGACTAATCTAATACAAATTATGAGAACTTTTACAAGACAATTTTACAACGGACGATTCTACTGACGATTCTACTGTCTTCAAAGTCTCCACGACAGTTCCACATGCACCATTCTGTAGACCTCCTGTACGCTTACCTCCATTAGTCTATATAAATTATTAGCAAATCGTAAGCCTATTATTAGTATAGAAGCACTAAATCTCTTAATGAATCACTATAGCCTTCTACAAATTTTTCTGTGAAAATTTACAATAAAGAGAACGTACAATTAGTAGTATTGTATTGTACAAAGTGTATGAAGACATGTCGACGAAACTATATAACATGTCGACAAAAAAAAGAAGTAACCACCACTAAGAAGGTATAATCAAAGTGAAAAGATTTGGATCCTTATTTCTCCAAAGAGTTTATAGTGGAGATGTCTCACATGTTTCAAACTTTATGTGCAAACAAAATTGTGGAAGATACAAATGAAAAAAAAAAAAAAAAAAAAAAAAACATGGCTTGAACAAACCGTAATGATGCAAATCGGTAGATAGTATAAGATTTGTCAGAATTTTCGTAATCCAAATCTTTGTAAGATCAAAAGGTCGAATGTTTTATCTTTGGATTTTCGGTGATGAGTATTTAAGCATCGGTCTTTGTGTCTCAGAATTATGATTTGGTCTTTGTGTCTCAGCATCACATGTGAAAAAAAAAATAATGAACTTCACGTAATCATGAGATAGTCTTAAGATCAAAAGCCACTTTAAGACTATCTCAGTCAATTCGGTCTTTGTGTAATTTTTTCTTTTTCTTAAAATAGTCAATTTGTTCATCGTTTTTTCTGTTCCGGATGCAGATATAATAATGCTATAGAATCCAATTTGTTCACGTACCTAACTTGAATGTTCTCTTTCGTTAATGTCACTTGCAATTATATATATTTATAATAATATAATATTGCTGGCCTAAAAATGGTCATGTGCTCGTATCCACTGAATCCAAACTTGTGAATACAACTTTTTTGTTGAAATTTTATCTTCAAGTTTTCGTCATCACTAACGTCACAAGATTGTTTTGTCCAATGCACAAGTAGGGTTTCTCTTTTTGTCTTTTCAGTATAATGATTGTTAATTTGTTATCACTTAGATTATATCTGTGTCCGTATAATCTCTATAAATCCAAACTTGTGTAATGTTTTTAGTCATAACATCCCAAAATGAAAGAAATGGATAACAATAATTCGAAATCACCTCACTTTCTCTTCGTCACGTTCCCAGCACAAGGCCATATCAACCCAGCTCTCGAGCTCGCCAAACGCCTCGCCGGAACCATCATCGGAGCTAGAGTCACTTTCGCCGCATCAACCTCCTCCTACAACCGCCGCATGTTCTCCACTGAAAACGTCCCCGAAACCCTAATCTTCGCCAAATACTCCGATGGCCTCGACGACGGTTTCAAACTCTCTTCCACCTCCGAAAAATCTCGCAAAGACACCGCCGGACAATACCTCTCTGAGATGAGACGACGTGGCAGAGAAACACTAACCGAACTTATCGAAGATAACCGGAAACAAAACCGGCCTTTTACCTGCGTGGTTTACACTCTCCTCCTCACTTGGGTCGCTGAGCTAGCGCGTGAGTTTCACCTCCCTTCGGCTCTTCTCTGGGTCCAGCCCGTAACCGTCTTCTCCATTTTCTACCATTACTTCAACGGCTACGCAGAGGCAATCTCAGAGATGGCTAACAACAACCCCTCTGGTTCTATTAAATTACCGTCTCTGCCACTGCTATATCTCCGCGATCTTCCTGCGTGCATCGTCCCTTCCAACGTCTACGCGTTTCTTCTACCGGCGTTTCAAGAACAGATTGAGTCACTGAAGCAAGACGAGAACCCTAAGATCCTCATCAACAGTTTCCAAGAACTCGAACCAGAAGCTCTAAGCTCGGTTCTTGATAATGTCAAGTTTGTCCCTGTCGGTCCGTTGATAACCTCGAGGACTGATTCTGGGACTCGCGTTGATTACGTCGAGTGGCTAGATGCAAAAGCTGATTCGTCTGTGCTTTATATTTCGTTTGGGACACTTGCCGTGTTAACCAAGAAACAGCTTCTTGAGCTTTGCAAAGCGTTGATAAAGAGTCGGAGACCGTTCTTGTGGGCGATTACGGATAAGTCGTACAGAAGTAAACAAGATGGGGAAGAGAAAGAAGTGGAGATCATAAAGAGTTTCAGACAAGAGCTCGATGAGATAGGAATGGTGGTTTCTTGGTGCGATCAGTTTAGCGTTTTGAAGCATAGATCGATCGGTTGTTTCGTGACGCATTGCGGGTGGAACTCGACGCTGGAGAGCTTGGTCGCTGGAGTTCCGGTGGTTGCGTTTCCGCAGTTTAACGATCAGATGACGAACGCGAAGCTTCTGGAAGAGTGTTGGAGGACAGGTGTGAGAGTGATGGAGAAGAAGGAAGAGGAAGAAGGAGTGGTTGTGGTGGAGAGTGAGGAGATAAGGCGGTGCATTGAGGGAGTTATGGAGGAGAAGGCTGAGGAGTTTAGGGGAAACGCGGCGAGGTGGAGAGATTTAGCGGCGGAGGCGGTGAGTGAAGGAGGCTCTTCGTTTAATCACCTCAAAGCTTTTGTCAATGAGCACATGTGAGATTCAGTCTCGGAAGATTCAGTTAGGTTATTGCCCTTTTAAGACTTATCATTATATACAACAATTTGGATGTTGTCACGTTGATTGGTTGGTTTTAAAGATGAAATATAGTAATTTATTGAAGATGTGAAAGATAGATAGATACAGGAGAGGCACAAATGATACAATCAAATTGTCAGTTTCACTTGGACTTACTTGACTGCCAAGAAAACAAAGAAATAGAATGTTGCAATTGAATCTTGAGTTCCGAGTAAATAAACCTTTTCATTATGGTATATGTGTGGAGAGGTTTATAAGAATTTTTTGGCTATTTATGTGAGTAAAATAGGTAAAGTAACTAGAGATAACACCATATTTATTAAACGTGTTTGGGTTAGAGTAATAGAAGAATGAGTGACTTTTCAGAAAATAATTTTTGGAATCGTGTAAATAAAAACAAAACATGAAAAAATACTCATATGGTGGTTGTAGAGATAGTAAATAAGTCTATAAAGCGTCTAAAAATTAATGCATTAAATGTTGGAAATGGGTAGAGTCCATATGCTAAGAGAGGATGTGGGACAATTGATAAGGGCGGTTGAAGTCTTATAAGTTGGTATCAGAGTCGAACCTATACGAGAATGTGGAGTCATGCTGGCTCACACCGTCGGGGTAATGGTCGTGGTACACAACGGGATATTAAGTTCTCTAAGTGGAAATGAATGATCACATCCTGATTTGTTGTAGAGAGGCTTTTAAAAAAAAAATTGTTATCTATATTATTAAAGTGCACTTGTCTTTTCCGTTAGTAGAAGAATGACGGGTGATTTTCCAACAAGTAATTTATGGAACCATTAAAGTAAAGACAAAATATGGGGAAAGATCATGTGGTGATTGGAGAGGCAATAAACAAGTCTTGTAAACCTCTAAAAAAATAACGCAGCGGGATAGATCTAGGAGCAGAGAAAGGACGTGGGGCCAGCCATTCGTAGAGGCGGTGGGGACATTTTAAATTGTATTGTTTCAACTTTCAAGAACCTCCACAAGAAAAGTCCGGGTTTCTAACTTAGCGGTGTGAGATCGACGCTCTGAGAATGATAAAGAGTGCCGTCCAGGAGAGAGAGATCTTGAAGTTGTTTTAGGCAGAGCCATGCTTAGTGTGTTATGAAAAAGGCATTAGTCTTAGGCCCCCACTTATAATATATATTTTTGAGGTCCCTATTATCCAAAAATCAATGATAGTCTAGTTGTTGAAGGAAGTTTAGTGAGCATTTCTTGGATCATATCCCAAGTTCGAATCCAGGGGTAGTAGAAGCAGTCAGTGTTGGTGGAGAACCAGGAGGAGTAAGCCGAGGAGTAGTAGGAATTGTCTCCTTCCAAAACTTGTTTGGTCAAAGGTTGAATGTTTTATCGTTTGATTTTTAGGATGAGTCTTTAATATTTGCTTGGTGCTGAAAGCAACTTTAAGACCAACTCAGTCAATTCGGTCTTTCTTTAAATATTTTTTTGTTAAATAAGTCAATTTAGTCTTCATCTTTTTCCTATTCCTTATGTAGAAATTAATAATGCTACAGAATCCTATTTTTCAGAAATTTCTCTCTCGTTCTTTTTTTAAAATTAATGTAAAATTTACATCATGTGTGGCTATTGTTTGATGAGACTATTCGAAATTACAATTTAAGTTGGCTGACTTGGCTAAACTCGAGCTCCAAATCATAGTTCGGATGGTTTGAAGTCTGTTATGGACGGTTTTGTCGATGACACTTACATTATCTATTAATAATTGATTATTGCTGGCCAATGGCCAAATTGGTCGTGTGGTCATGTCCACTGAATCCAAACTTGTGGATGCTTTTCTTTTTATTTCGCTGAAATATATTTTTCCATTTTCGTCATCACCAACGTCACGAAATTGACTTGTCCAATGCACTTAGTAGGGTTTCTGTTTTTGTCTGTTCAATATATTAGCCCTTAATTAACAATTTTAATCACTTATTAGAAGGTTAAGATCTGTGTCAGTATAATCTCTATAAATCTAAACTTGCTTGTCTTTCTTTAGTTATAACACCCAGAATTAAAGAAAATGGATAATAACAAATCGAAATCACCTCACTTCCTGTTCGTCACGTTCCCAGCACAAGGCCATATCAACCCATCTCTCGAGCTCGCCAAACGCATCGCCGGAACCATCGCCGGAGCTAGAGTCACTTTCGCAGCCTCAATCTCCTCATACAACCGCCGTATGTTCTCCACAGAAAACGTCCCCGAAACCTTAGTCTTCGCTACATACTCCGATGGCCACGACGACGGTTTCAAATACTCTACTTCTTCCGACAAATCTCGCAAAGCTGCCACCGGACAATACATGTCTGAGATGAGACGACGTGGCAAAGAAACACTAACCGAACTAATCGAAGATAACCGGAAACAAAACCGGCCTTTCATCTGCGTGGTTTACACCATCCTCCTCACTTGGGTCGCTGAGCTAGCGCGTGAGTTTCACCTCCCTTCGGCTCTTCTCTGGGTCCAGCCCGTAACCGTCTTCTCCATTTTCTACCATTACTTCAACGGCTACGCAGAGGCAATCTCAGAGATGGCTAACAACAACCCCTCTGGTTCTATTAAATTACCGTCTCTGCCACTGCTATATCTCCGCGATCTTCCTGCGTGCATCGTCCCTTCCAACGTCTACGCGTTTCTTCTACCGGCGTTTCAAGAACAGATTGAGTCACTGAAGCAAGACGAGAACCCTAAGATCCTCATCAACAGTTTCCAAGAACTCGAACCAGAAGCTCTAAGCTCGGTTCTTGATAATGTCAAGTTTGTCCCTGTCGGTCCGTTGATAACCTCGAGGACTGATTCTGGGACTCGCGTTGATTACGTCGAGTGGCTAGATGCAAAAGCTGATTCGTCTGTGCTTTATATTTCGTTTGGGACACTTGCCGTGTTAACCAAGAAACAGCTTCTTGAGCTTTGCAAAGCGTTGATAAAGAGTCGGAGACCGTTCTTGTGGGCGATTACGGATAAGTCGTACAGAAGTAAACAAGATGGGGAAGAGAAAGAAGTGGAGATCATAAAGAGTTTCAGACAAGAGCTCGATGAGATAGGAATGGTGGTTTCTTGGTGCGATCAGTTTAGCGTTTTGAAGCATAGATCGATCGGTTGTTTCGTGACGCATTGCGGGTGGAACTCGACGCTGGAGAGCTTGGTCGCTGGAGTTCCGGTGGTTGCGTTTCCGCAGTTTAACGATCAGATGACGAACGCGAAGCTTCTGGAAGAGTGTTGGAGGACAGGTGTGAGAGTGATGGAGAAGAAGGAAGAGGAAGAAGGAGTGGTTGTGGTGGAGAGTGAGGAGATAAGGCGGTGCATTGAGGGAGTTATGGAGGAGAAGGCTGAGGAGTTTAGGGGAAACGCGGCGAGGTGGAGAGATTTAGCGGCGGAGGCGGTGAGTGAAGGAGGCTCTTCGTTTAATCACCTCAAAGCTTTTGTCAATGAGCACATGTGAGATTCAGTCTCGGAAGATTCAGTTAGGTTATTGCCCTTTTAAGACTTATCATTATATACAACAATTTGGATGTTGTCACGTTGATTGGTTGGTTTTAAAGATGAAATATAGTAATTTATTGAAGATGTGAAAGATAGATAGATACAGGAGAGGCACAAATGATACAATCAAATTGTCAGTTTCACTTGGACTTACTTGACTGCCAAGAAAACAAAGAAATAGAATGTTGCAATTGAATCTTGAGTTCCGAGTAAATAAACCTTTTCATTATGGTATATGTGTGGAGAGGTTTATAAGAATTTTTTGGCTATTTATGTGAGTAAAATAGGTAAAGTAACTAGAGATAACACCATATTTATTAAACGTGTTTGGGTTAGAGTAATAGAAGAATGAGTGACTTTTCAGAAAATAATTTTTGGAATCGTGTAAATAAAAACAAAACATGAAAAAATACTCATATGGTGGTTGTAGAGATAGTAAATAAGTCTATAAAGCGTCTAAAAATTAATGCATTAAATGTTGGAAATGGGTAGAGTCCATATGCTAAGAGAGGATGTGGGACAATTGATAAGGGCGGTTGAAGTCTTATAAGTTGGTATCAGAGTCGAACCTATACGAGAATGTGGAGTCATGCTGGCTCACACCGTCGGGGTAATGGTCGTGGTACACAACGGGATATTAAGTTCTCTAAGTGGAAATGAATGATCACATCCTGATTTGTTGTAGAGAGGCTTTTAAAAAAAAAATTGTTATCTATATTATTAAAGTGCACTTGTCTTTTCCGTTAGTAGAAGAATGACGGGTGATTTTCCAACAAGTAATTTATGGAACCATTAAAGTAAAGACAAAATATGGGGAAAGATCATGTGGTGATTGGAGAGGCAATAAACAAGTCTTGTAAACCTCTAAAAAAATAACGCAGCGGGATAGATCTAGGAGCAGAGAAAGGACGTGGGGCCAGCCATTCGTAGAGGCGGTGGGGACATTTTAAATTGTATTGTTTCAACTTTCAAGAACCTCCACAAGAAAAGTCCGGGTTTCTAACTTAGCGGTGTGAGATCGACGCTCTGAGAATGATAAAGAGTGCCGTCCAGGAGAGAGAGATCTTGAAGTTGTTTTAGGCAGAGCCATGCTTAGTGTGTTATGAAAAAGGCATTAGTCTTAGGCCCCCACTTATAATATATATTTTTGAGGTCCCTATTATCCAAAAATCAATGATAGTCTAGTTGTTGAAGGAAGTTTAGTGAGCATTTCTTGGATCATATCCCAAGTTCGAATCCAGGGGTAGTAGAAGCAGTCAGTGTTGGTGGAGAACCAGGAGGAGTAAGCCGAGGAGTAGTAGGAATTGTCTCCTTCCAAAACTTGTTTGGTCAAAGGTTGAATGTTTTATCGTTTGATTTTTAGGATGAGTCTTTAATATTTGCTTGGTGCTGAAAGCAACTTTAAGACCAACTCAGTCAATTCGGTCTTTCTTTAAATATTTTTTTGTTAAATAAGTCAATTTAGTCTTCATCTT